AGTTGCGATGTCCGCTCGTTTACGATATTTTCATTGCATATCACTTTGTCCTGAGTGACGCTCTGCTTTCGCTTCGCTTTCCATACACACTCTCCGACAGAAATACATCCTTCCGGTGTCCAACAATGATTCGGGTAAGCCAAGATCGGCCGTGATTTTGGGTTGCGGACAGGCACTTGCCGGAGTTGCGCTTTATTCGAGAAATTCTACGCACTCCTTATCTAATGTGGGGTCAGAAAGGAAGCCGTTTTAAGCGACAAATCCTTGAGAAGTATACTCCTGCCTTCTGAAAATAGTCGTTTATCTGCTGGAGCCAACAACAACAGGAGAAACGGAGTGGCATCAAAAGCAATACCGCCTCCTTCAAAGAAACTCTACCGAGTCCGACACATGGAGAGAGGTGTTGTCGATAGCATCCTTGAAGAGAGTCAAAAAGCTCCAGTGTAGGGAGGGTAGTCAAATGGGCTGAACTCTAATGTTTTAATAAGCGGTTCGCGAGTAACGTTGCTGTACCCTTCCATAAGACACGTATCCATGTGGTGTTCTTGAATACAGTTTCTCGAAAAGGGTCATCGCAGCCATTGTCACCTGGAATTACGTTTTGTCTTCGAGGCCAAGCTTATCCACAGACTCTCTTGCATTGTTAAACTGTAGGAGTGGGTAAGTTTGACTCGACCTCGTGTTTCGCAAGGGTGAGAAGCTCAACTGAGCGGGTTAATCCGCGTAACGTCTTCTGCCAGTTCCCCCTTACCCACTGCGCAGTATATTATGCATATATATATAGCTTCTTCCCATCTCGCTCTCCCTCTCTCCCCTCCCCCGCCCTCTTCCTGCTCACTCTTCACTCCCGTCCGTCCTCTGACCACACAGACAGACAATTCCCAGACTATTTAACCGATTATCACCTGCAATGTTCAGGCAAATTGTTTTTACCGTCGTTTGCTTGAACTTACTGACATTCTGTGCTGCGCAGAGAGAACTTCCCTTGCCTGGCGACAAAACTGGTTCAGCTAAATGGGTAAGAATCAATACAAACTTTGTGCTCTACTCGGCAGAAGAGATGCTGGCTATAGTTGACAAAGCAAAGGCTGCAGGAGCGAATAGTGTCCTTCTCAGTGATGTGAAGACAATGACCTTTTGGTTCCGTTCCCCAGGGACAAAGTGGTTTAATCGAATCAACGCTTTTCGCGCCGGTGTCCGTGATCGAGGAATGAATTTTATCCTCAGTGGGGTCGGGCTTGGGTATTGCAGCGGACCACTTGCCAACGATCCAAACCTTGCTTCAGGATATCCCATGAATGACGTTCCGATGAGAGTTTCGGCGGGGGGTGTTTTACGGCCTGTTGAAACCGCTGAGATACCGAATGGATCATTTGAGGACTCTTCGGCAAATCGGCCCACCGGCTGGGGCTTTCAAGACAATCCGGGTGAGTTGACTTTCATCGACTCTACTGTAGCGAGGTCCGGGTCCAAATCGCTGCGGCTTGATGCAAAGCCAGGTAAGATGTCAAGACTGTTCGGAGACTTCAAAGTCAAGCCATTTCAACAGTATACTCTCTCAGTTTGGGTAAAGACACAGGCCCTTACAACTGGAACTATTCTTTTATTGATAAGAGACTCAGCCAACACCAATAGGCGTCTTTCTTCTCAATTCCTGTCTATGCCCGAAAGTGGCGGACGTCGGAAGTACTTCAGCGATGCGAACGACCTGACGTTTGACTGGACTGAGATGAAACTACCATTTAACTCTTTAGGCGCGACATCTGCCTCGGTAGTTCTCGGGATTTGGAGAGGCACGAGTGGAAAGGTATGGTGGGATGATATCAGGCTTCGCTCGACACCCCAGATGAATCTTTTAAGGCGCAGCTCACTGCCGTTCACTATCAAAACTACAGATGGACGCATCTTGTCTGAAAATTCCCAATACAGCGGTGCCGTAGATCCGAAACTTGGACAATCATCATTTCAAGGGAACTTTGACACCTATCATGACATACGTCCGATATCCGTGACACCAGCTTCGCGCCTTTCTGAAGGAGATACTGTTTTACTTAGTGGATACCATACTACTGTTGTTCGCAATGGGCAAGTAGGGTGTTCATGGACGGACAGAAAACTCATCAAAGTTATTCGTCGGACCTACGTAGAAGGCAACCGGGCGTTTTCTCCAGATGCTATTTTACTGGCACACGATGAAATCAGGACCGGAGGCTGGGAGCCTCTAGAAGTCGCACAAAAAACTTCTGGAAGGGCATTGGCTGCTTACATGAGAGAGGAAATCAGGATTGTTCGAAAGGCGTCGAATAATAAGCCGCTGTACGTATGGTCTGACATGTTTGATCCCGGCCACAATGCAAACGCCGATTATTATCACGTACGTAATACACTCACGGGGTCGTGGAAAGGGTTGAGCAACAAGATGATAACGATTGTGAATTGGGAGGACACATCCTTGGAAGAGAGTGGAAAGGCATCTTTTACATTCTTCCACAAGAAAGGATTCACTCAGGTAATTGCAGGCTACTATGACTATGATGTACAGGAAAACTTCAAAGCTTGGCAAAGTGCAATAGACGGGCGTACGACTGCTGGGTCAATGTACACAACATGGACAAAGGATTTTAGCCAGCTCCAGCCGTTTGCAAACTTGTGGTGGTAAATTCGACGTGGCCTCCCTACGAAAATCTATCTAGCTTTTTGCGTAGACTAAAAAGAAAGGTCTTGCTGTGGGAACAGAAACGTTCCTTAGTGTTGGATACTAATACCTAGATGATGTCTATCGGACGTTTCCATTCCGTGAATTGAGTAGTAAAGAAGCGTTTCATCATGTCGAGTGTGAATTTGTGCTTCCAGAGTATGCAATTGATCTTGGTTCGGTACTTGGACTTAATGGAGAGAGGCAGACTATGTGGTGGTGACGTAAGGTGTGGTGACGTAAGGTGTGATGACATTTCAGTAACGCTGCCTACTCCCAAACGTGGGTATAGCGGAAAATTCGTCACCAAAAGATATGTATGGCAGCTGTGTTGCACAGTAACTGAAATGGATTTTGCAGGTGCAGGTACAGGGGGGTACGCGCAATAGTGCCGCTTTCATTATTGCCACCCTCGAATTAGTGCCGCCAAAACCGACAGACACAGGTTCTGCCACGTGTCATGCACGACGTCGTCATCGGCCACTCCTCATGCGCCTCAGCTCTTTGGTGCAATTGGTGACGTGATGATACCTCACTCAATGACCCTAACATGAATCCTGAAAAGATCGCCAAAGCGAAGCGTACGCGCCTTACGATTGCACAGAAAATCGAGGTTGGGCATCTGCTGCAGGTCGGAAAGTTGGTCGAAATGAAACAGAAATTGATAAATCTATGGTGGATGGTATAGTAGGGTTTCTCTCCCGACTGAGCCTGGTGCCAGAAGACGGCCTTGCAGAAACTGCAGAATTCTGCAGGAAAGATGTGGAGGAATGGATTGAGATCGAGACTAATGAGCTTGTGGCAGAAGCTTCTATTAGTGATGCTTGTAATTCAATACATTAGGCCATCCCCACCGCGGAAGATTTTCTATCTCTATTGAGGTATGATAAGCCCAAAATTCTGGTTACGGATTTTGTGCAACATTACCGCACAAATCTAATCTAAACGGTTAGAGAATCCTTTAGATTAGATAGTGAACTGACTCTATATTCTGGAAATTTAGAGTCAGTTTGGAGTCTATTGGTCGAATAGAGACTGGCAATAGATACCCACGTGTGCATTCTGTACAGCCCGTGTGCATTCTGTATGTTTTTCATTGGCCATCGCGCGCGCCTTCTTTGTGCAGAACACCTGGAAGAACTTCGGGGAGTGTGCAACAGTGCGTGCCCGTGAGAGTGCGCAACTTGTGTTTCCCGCCGGCGCGCTTTCCGCGTCTCCCGCGTTTTCCGCCGTGCACGCTAGCGAGTGCTGGCTGCTGCTCACCGCCGCTAGAGCTTGATAGCGAGCCCATGGACTTCCTCATCTCCTCACACTCACGGCCAAGCCAGTTCCAATCGATAGGTGCTTCATTGGGCTCCGCCATGCTCGCTCCTTGTGGGCTCGAGGTTGCGAAGAGAATAGACTTCTTTGCCGCGGTAATGTTCAAAGTGCTGATCGGCATCAATTAGATTAGAGACTATCTAACTCGAATAGAGCTGTAATTTTGGCCGGCATTACACTCCGCAATCTGCCAATGGCCAAGCAACAAATGTGCGCTATAGAGATAGATAATCTTCCGCGGTGGGGATGGCCTTATGGTGGAGAGCTACAGAATCAGTCTGCCAGTGATGCTATGATGGATGATTGTATGGGTGGCTGAAGATGAGTGTGAAATTACGGAGAGGCGGGCCGTACCGAGTGCTGTAGTGCTAGCAAGGCTGTTTGGGTCTTTGGAGAGTCTGGGTGTGGAGTGCGATGTGAGCAATGCCTTATCGCACTTGAGGTCCGCAAAACGAGCTTTTCTAGAAGCTAGGCATGAGAGACAGGGTCAAAGGCAACAACAGCAGACTCTAATAACAGAGTTCTGGCCGGGTAGTGATTCTGCTTTCTGATTGTGCCGCTCCGAATTAGTGCCGTATTATTAGTCTTTACACAGGGCGGCACTAATGCGTAGGGTCGACTGCATGGACTATATCAACTTGAGGAAAAAAGTGGGTGAATGCAAGTGCCTTCAATCGATACATATACGATGTGCATGTCTTTAAGGATTGATGAACTCATTTTCAACCTTTCTCTTCATATTGTGTGAACATGTGTTTTGCGGTAGGATGAGAAGGATACGTTGGTCCCTGAGAGCGTTATTTTCATTTCTGCCTTCTCTGTTGTAGATTCGGTAATATGTATGCCACGTGTCTTCCCTTGCACGATTGCCAGTTAATCACCGAAAACCGATGCTCCTGCACACACTGTACCCGTGGGTACCTGTGGGTACAGTGTACTCAGCCCTAGATGACCAACTCCTTCCCTCCACTTTAGTTCCGATGCCCGACTCCTTTTCATTCATTTCATGTCCAACTCCGTTCGAAGTTCTTTCTAACTCTGTACGATTTCCGGTCTCACCGATGAATCGCTGGAAAAGGGGCAGCAGGGGACTCCAGAAGCCGTCACGCAGCCCTTATGCTTCGGCTTCTGCGTCATCCGCCCGCCGGAAGTTCTACGCCGTCCGTGGCGGGAAAGGCGGCTTTTCCGGTGTACTCAATTCTTGGAATGAGTGTCAGCGTCATATTAATGGGGTTTCAGGAGTAGCCTTTAAAAGCTTTTTGACGTACGACGAAGCATTGGCATTTTCACAGAATAGACCACAAGCGCCATCAATTGGATGTGGGAAGAAGAGCAAGTTCTACGCCGTAAAATACGGCGAGTACAGCGAAATTTTCACTTCATGGGAAGAATGCAGAGTGTATGTGTCTGGTATTCGAAACGCAAGCTACAAGGCCTTCAAGTCTTTGGAAGAAGCACTCGACTTTACAGGCCATAGTAGGCAATCTCTGAGCCGGCCTGCAATTGTGGACAAAGAATCCAATGCGAAAATCGGAAGGAGTGCTTCGACAGTTGCTTGCGCAGAAGACCGCGAGGTGATAGGCCACGCCACTAACCCTGTTATCTCCGACCATATGTCGTCGTCTTTTCTGGTCGAGCCTGTTCAAAATCAGGAGCAGCATCTCCTAGTTTTTACGGACGGTGCTTGCATAAACAACGGGAAACGGAACAGCAAAGCAGGTTACGGGGTATTTTTCGGCCTTAACAGTCCTTTAAATATTTCGAAACCGCTTCCAGGTCCGCCTACAAACCAGCGGGCTGAAATGATGGCAGTTTTGGTGGCTATTCGCACCGTTTTGAAGCACAGTCTTATTTCTCGAGGTGGTATTCTCGAGATAAGAACGGACTCCAAGGTTTGTATTCCCGCTTCCGGACTCAAGCCCTATGAATATATTGTAGTTTCACCGTGTCATTAGCCATTGTACTTACTTCCTTTCATTGTTCACGTTCACTGCTGATCTACATCTTTTAGTATACGAAAAACGGTATAGACAGCTGGGTTGCAGGATGGAAAAAGAATAATTGGAAAACATCCTCCGGTACAGAAGTCAAGAACCAAGACTTGTGGATCGCTCTCGATACCGCTAGAGCGGAACTGCTCGAGAGCGGTGTCATGTTTCATTTAGTGTGGGTGAAAGGTCACTCTGGAGATCCTGGAAATGAAGCCGCTGATGAGTTAGCCGTCGCGGGAATCCATCACATGTAAATGTCAAGAACTTCATCAAGTTAATAGAAGAAGGCAATGAATACTGTAGAGGACTGGAGAGAAGCTCGATGACGTTGTGTGTGACTACGACTGTGAATTCGTGACTCTACCCTCTTCTCTTCTTGGGCTTTGCGAGAGGGCCATCTATTATTCTATACCGCGCTGGTAAGTACTGCGCAGTAATAGGTCCAAAGTCGCGCATCACCATGATGCATTGGTCCATCCGCACAATGCTGCCCATAAGGAGTTCTTTCTGAAGCCGAAGTTGCTTTTGGTCGGCACCACGTGCAGTCGACTTTGTTGCTTCTAGGCTTTCCAGACGAAGGAACAGGTTCAATACCGTCTTATACATTAATGCCGTCATGCTTCGATACACACCCATTGCGTTCACTTTCCAGAGATAGTACCAATTGCTCGCCCGCTGTTGGTCGTGAGAGCGGGGTACCTCCTGCATGACCAATATACGATCCTGATACATTCGGAAAAGATGCTCTCGCGCCACCTTCAACGGCAACATGCACTTCTCCGCAACTGCCTTATCTTCCATGCCTCCATCAACAGCGAGCGCACGGAAGACCCGTCTTCCTACTGCTCCATATCGGCTAAGAATGAGGTCCTCAAGGGTCTTTTGCCGTGCATCAGAAACAAGTCTACCGGTTATAAAGCGCAGTGAAGTCGGAGATTTCTCTGGAATGCCCACCACAAACGTCGGGGTTTGCTCCATCAACAATTGTAGAGCTTCCCAAAAATCGTGATTCCCCACAGCGCCATCCTCTTTTAATTGCTCTTCAATCGTTGCGACTTCAATTTCTGCAGTTTCGAAGTCATCGGAAGGAGCTTGGCAATCTTCTTCTTCAAGTGCCATGCGCAAACCCGCTCTCAAAATGCCAACAGCGACGTGATTTTGGACTCGGCCCTGGACAACAATGGCGCAACATTCATTTCGGAATTCTCTGTTGAGATGCCAAAAGCAAATATTCCACACGTCCATGTCATTTTTCCTTGATGGGGCGCCAACTACAATGCTGTGATGACATCTGCCAATCCTGATGCATTCCCTTTCCTCAGCTCCTGATTGACTTCCTGAACCTTGGAGCATGGGTTCATCGTCATCAGACTCATCATCAGACTCAGAGGGCCGCGATCGTTTTCCGTTCATATCTTTTTGATTTGAGATGTAGTCATTTCTACTCGATTCGTCAGCTTCTGGAGAATTGCCGTTTAATGGCCCGTTCATATCGCGCCGTCCATGCCAGCGCATTATACCAGACTTGGCCATATCGTTGAGACAGGCTTCGGCGTCACTCTCCGTGATGTCCAAGTCGATCAACACGGATGTTAGGACAGACGAAAAGAGTTGATGAGAAGTTAGTCGCCCTCTTTCAAAGAAAGCACGAACAGCGGTCTCTCCAACGTCCCCGTACCGTCGGCGAGCGAAGCCTAGATACAGAGGAAGCCTTGAACGGAACAAGGCATACTCTCCTCGCGCGTAATATGCAGAATGCGTTAGGGTTCGAGACCGTTTTCTGTGGCGTTCTACATCGATTTGGTCTTCTTTTTCAGAGCGATCTCCGTTAGTACTTGCTTCCTCCTTTGGGCCGTTAAAGCGCTCGACGGCATACGCTATGCCATGTTGAAGAAGCACGGCCAAACTGTCTCGGATTAGAGCGTGGCATGTTTGAGGACCGGAGGTTTTTGTGTCTGCATTTGCGAGGGTCTCGATAAGCGGGGTCGCCTTTGCAATAATCTGAGCAAATGAAGAGCCTGGTGATGCAAGCAGTATCCGTAGAGTTTCAGCTGTTGCCTCGCCGAATTGACTGCGAACCATTGAACAAGCCAGGGCTTCTTCATTCATAGCCATGGTCACGGACCTTTGTTGGCATTCGAGTAAGCCCTGGGACTGCTCTTAGGTTTTCTTTTCATGCGCAGTCCAGGAAGCCGTCGTATGTTGCGTTAACAAAAATGTAATCGAGGCAAGCAATGGCATCTTGCATCCAGCTGAAGTTCCGGGACCTGTTGAAAGTACACTGAGTACGACGCCGAATGAAGCTATGCCGTACCAATACGAGACTGTGCATAAACGGACGTAATAAAGCAAAAGACTCCCCCTGAAACTGCAATTTTGTTTAAATAACAACCAGTGATTCTCAATAACGCCCCCCCAATGTCATTTTATGCGTTCCGAAATAGTGCACAAAAAGCGTTCACCAATGGCCATACAGGAATGAACCACACTATTTGATGACACATGTAGAAAAACACGTGTACTGCAGTGAAGACGACAACGCTCGGGATCAAAAGATCAAAAAGAAAGAGGGGACCGACCTCCTGGTGAAAATCTGGTCTGCTCTCGCCGTCAGCCCCCCGATACAGATACGCATTCGCGCTTGCAACCACGTTGTTGCAAACTCCCTGCCCAGCCTCACACAGTAAGTTATGCGCGAGTGTGCTTGCGTCTTGTCCTAATGGCTGACTCATCCCCAGCCGGCTCATTCAATGCTTTATCCCCTCTGCCAGCTTTTTTCTTAAGTTTCCTTCCAAAGCCCTAGCTGCCTGAGCAATGCCACCACAAGATGCGACTTGACTGTTTGTGGCTTGTCTGCCCGACACACCAAGCTTTTGCTCAACAAAAAGTTCTCGCATGCCGCTGTCGTAGCCGCATTTCGAGGACGTCCCATTCCTCTCCTTCGCACACCACACCCCGTGCTTGTCTAGGCAAGCCTCCAGTGCCATCTTTTGAAGACCAACAACCTCATGACCTTGTGAAAAATTCTAAGCACGAAGACCGTCCATCGCGATCCGTCTCCACCTTGCCTCTCGAAGTTGTGCAGCGCATCGCGTCCGGCGAGGTTATTCCCGACTTCCAAGCTGTCATTCAAGAGTTGGTCGAAAATGCAATTGATGCATATGCCAAGAACGTTTGTGTCAGCATCGATTTTAGAAGCTGCTCAGTTACGGTAAGAGACGATGGGGTTGGAATATCTGCGCCCCATAATTTGCAGCAAATCGCTGGATGCAACGCAACCAGTAAACTTCGCACGCTGCATGAACTCGAAGCTGGTGTGCCCACACTGGGATTCCGCGGGCAAGGTCTATGGGCTATTGCTGCAAAGGCGAAATCTCTTGTCGTAGCATCACGCACTGTAGATGCACCACATGGCACTTCTGTCACATTTTCAAGTACCGGACATCCTCTTCATGATTCTATCTCCGCAGTTGCGATGGCGGTGGGGACTGTGGTAAGTGTGCGTGGGCTTCCATGGTCACTTGCAGGTCGCGAGAAGTCGAAAGCCACACAAAAATGTAAGTTGTGGCTTGTGAGGGCTGCTCTAAGCCACCCTTCCGTGTCCTTCCAGTTGAAACGCAACACTTCTTTGCTTTGGCAACGTTCGTATAAAGGAGGGATGGTCGCAGAATCGCTAATACAGACGTTGGCAAATGAATTGAAGGTGTCACCAGCCGGCTTCCGATATGGGTCGAAATCTCTTCCCGTGTTGGGTTCTGTTCATGTCATCTTTGGACTCCCTTCAATAATACATACGTTTTCCAAGATGTGGTTTGTTACTGCAATGAACGGAAGACATGTGTCCTTCGACTCGCTGTATCGAGCTCTGGTTCCAGAGTTCAGTGTGCCAAAGGGCCGATTTCCTGTCATTTTCGTTGCTGTGAACATCACACCTGGAGCCGTTGATTGGAATATCTCGCCAATAAAGGCGAAGGTGCGATTTAAGGATTTAGAGACCGAACAGAGCGTTGTTGACGCTGTAATCAGTGTTGCAACCGATCTCTTGCAGAAAATGCCGGACTCAGCCTTTTCTCGCGGGCATAATTTAGACTTTGACAGTTCCTCTCGAATGCCTGGACCAGTCCCATTACTATTCTCTACAGTTTCTACAAGTGCCCATGACCAGCTGCCCGACGCGAGTCAGGAAAACAAATCCATACATGAAAGCATTCGAGCCAGTATTGTCAGTAGTTTGGGGCGAAATGCACAAGTTGTGACGCAAGTATTAGGAACATATATTCTTGTTGAACGCGATGCTGGAATTCTGTTGGTGGAGCAACATGTCGCACACGAGCGAATTCTCTATGAAGGATTTCTTGAGGAGTGGAGGTTATCATCATGTGTGGAATTGAAGACCCCTATTCAGCTTCCATGTTCCATTTCCGAGGAGTGGGTTTTCAAGCTTACTTCAATGGGATTCAACATCGAGCAATCAATTGATTCATATTCTAAAGAGAATAAGTCGCAGAACATAATCCATTCCGTTCCAGCCGCATTTAGTACGCTGCCTCCGTCGGAAAGGCTCCCCATGATACTAAAATTGTGTTCAAATGTGAGCACAATGGAGGACGCAGCGGCTGCTTTGGCCTGTAATATGGCCATAAGAAATGGGACCGCCCTCACTCATGGGAGAATGACGTCTATTGTGGCAAAACTTATGGAATGTCGAAATCCTCATACCTGCCCTCATGGAAGGCCAATTTTTGTTGAAATGAGCACAGCAACATTGGCGCGCAGCTTTAAAAGAACGTGGACCCCCGAACGCGTGATCAAACCTCAGGCTGGAACCCCTCCGTTTAGTTCCAAACGCTGGGATAAGGGAATGCTGCCAGAATAACTACGCACGATTAACCGGTGTCAAGTGTCTAGCTAGACGACAGGCGATTTGCCTTATGTAGGGCCAACTCTTTTTTGCGAAAAAAAAAATTAAATTGAAATTGTATAAAGTGAGTTTGAACACCATTTCTTTAACGTAAATGCCTTCGGCAACAACATCTTGCAGAACATTGAGGTAGCACTTGTGAATACACAGAAAGACTAAGAATCCAATGAAGCGGCAATACCCGGTTGACATTTTAAACAGGTGTCTTGGTTTCAAATAATTCTTCTTAGGCATTCTAAAAATGGCTGAAAAAGACCTGCAGATGTCACCAAACTCCATCCTTCCGTACCGCAGAAGTGAACTGCGGTGGCGAGAGTATCGTTTTCCTTCATGATGAGCGTAAAATTCAGACTTCAAAGACCTACTACGACTATCTGGTACCCAATTCGACCCCGGTGAATCGATTTAGCATGCTTATAGAGCTCGGGTTCCGCCAATGAGATATCGACATGGCGAAGTCGAGACAACCAGCCGCTGGAGGAAATCCTTTGTGAAATTAACCAAAACTTGCGATGTTTTTATTGCCCCCGGGACAACAAGGCCGCACAGGAGAGGGGATAGTTTCTGGAGGCACTGTATACGCCGTATACTACTACCAAGGGTACCGTATAGTATACGGTACCGCGAAGGGGTAACGTAATCAGGAGTACCGCTGCGACAACAGAATTAGGATACTCTCAGACCATGGGATGCACCTCACGATGGTGCGCGAAACCCAGACGGAAACGTCTATCGCAACCCCGCGCGACCTTTTCGGTGGCGCAATGACGCTCTCCCTTCCTCCTTTTTTTACGGATGTATCCCGACTGCGCGGAGTCCCTGACAACCAAGAAGCATTTGCACATGCTGAAACCGATCGATCTCTCATTGTCGAGCTTCTGCAACAAGAACATCCACTTCCTGTTGCTCACACCCTCGCAGCGACTTTTCATCTTGATGAACTCGCTTCTGACTCAGCCGCCCTATCTTCAAATCTTGTCTATTCAGCCGCCCTCCCTCCCGACGACTTTCCATTATTGAAACAAGGAGACCCCGCACTTCAGGTTTCCGTTGCTCATGGCGTTCACACTGTTGCAAAGTTTAAAGACGCTGAATCGCTCGCTAGTCAGGTTAACGTTCATCTCGCTTGCATCACGCTGCCAAGAGTGACGACCGATTTGCTTGTGGTATTCAATGATCCTGTTGTCCTTCACCCATGGGGTTCTAGCGCGAGGGTTGGATCCCAAGTTGCTAATTCGCAGGAATCTAATCCCGAGAGAAGGGCAGAACTTTTTGATCATGCTCTTCGTACACTTCAAGTTAACGACTGGTCCCTCTTCTGCTAGTATCCATTTTGCATCCCCCACATTATGCGAACTAGACATGGGTGGCACGGCACACTTTGCCGTAGCACAAGAATGTGCAGTTATCAGATGATGCACTTTCGTGTTCTCTGTCGCATTGCGTCTTTTCTTCCGAGTGCACAGCTTTCTTCCCATATGCTTGAGGGGCACAGCAGAAGTAGCTTATAACCATCTTCTCGGTATGTGACGTATGACGCACCAAGACAATATCTTCATCAACGCTCATTGCAAGGCCTTCATATACTCGGATCCAGACAAGTGCATGTCTTTGATGTGACCATTACATATATATCCCTTTTCTTCGCTTCTTACTGGTGGTCTGCCTCATCATCTGTCTCTCCCACTTGTGACACAACGGGATACGGGAACTTATGTCTTTCTTTACTAGTAGTTCTGGATTGAGGCTGCTCCGAACACGTGCCCTCGTGCAGCGGGGTTTTCAGGGAGAGAAGTTGACGCCCGCAAGGTTTCCTAGGCTTCAACCTGTGAAGGATGGTGAGCGCACAGATTCGTGAGTTGTACGCAACAGTATGTCAGCCCCCGATAGCATGCATCGATGCTCATGACGTCAGGGTCAATCGAGTTAACTAGGGGCAAGCACATGGGAAGTTCACCGCGTGGGCAACAACAGATATTCCCAAAACGGCCCGCTACCACACTCAGGTGTAGTCCCGTCCTCTAGCCCATGTGGCTACAGTAATGGCGACCACATTTCATGACGGTGGTTGACGTCTTTCACAATATGAGATATGTCAAGAAGGTCTTAGAAGGACGTATCGCAAGTCAATTCTGGTCTTGTTGTTGACGGACTGCGGTATTCATCATTAATCGTAAGAGACTTGAAGAGTCCACTGTGATTGACTGCGAGCTACGTTATTTATTTTGAAGAGTGTTATTTCGTCTGTTGGCTCGTTGCAAATGCCTGTTCTCTGTCGTAGAATGAGTAGCAGTAAGTAAGACCCAGGACTAGAGCTGTCATCTGCCGACCCAATGGTTCGCAAACTGTAGCAGTTCTCATATCGCTCATTCAGGAATGTTTGCGAAGTCGACACATTTTCTTTCTTTTCATATCTAGCGTTGTTGAGCTCCTTTTGAGTGAACGAATTATGATGATGGCCTTTCTTAGTGTGACGATAATCTTGCACTTCGTCAAGTTACTCTGGCGACGAAAGAGGAACCGGAGTTTTCCGGAATTACTGGTGGCATTCCGCTTCGTCAGTACACACAAATCGCTTGCCGTCTAGGGACATCCAAAGCCGCGGCTCATTCGAAAGGCAAGGAAGGGCTGCTCATGACGCACCCTTCTGTATTTGTTAAAATGCTGTCAACTTTCGGAGAATACCTCAAGATGCATGTGAAAATGATCAGATCAGAACTGTTCCCGGTCTGTATGGGGTACGATGTAGACAAAGCAATGAAAATTACAGATGCAAAGCTTTCATGATCGACTCCCGAGACAAGAAAGACGTAAATCATAATTTACAGATGGGAATTGGTGCAAGTCAAGTTACGAAATTCCTTCTATACAGAGTGCCTAGCTTGGTGCAGCTATCGTTTGTAGCTGTGCAAGTAGCAGCACCGAAAGCACCTCACCGGGTTTACTTCGAATATAGTGATGTGTTGCCTCTGTCATATAGAAATCCCTGGACATGGTACTTTTTTTTCCTTTTAGATACAAACCAGACTTTCAAAAGTAGTGATACGAAGTTGTGGAGCACAAGCACGACTTCACCATCTTAGGAAATCTGAAAAAAAGATTGTTCGCCGGGCAATACATGTAAATTACTTACTGAGTCTTTCCGGCAGAGCAAATTGCTCGTCAAAAATATCTTCAATACAGTACACGTACAGTACAGCGAGTTTTGCATCATTTATCATACCCAATCTGGCGAACAGTACAGTACGTAGTCGAGATCTCCTTCCTGGAAACAGGTAGATTCGGTCACTGCAACCTTTTCCACATTGTCATCGACCGCTGCACATTGAGTCGTTGATACGAACGCAGAGCGTGCAACTCAAGCACTACTTTTGTCTTACAGAAATGGAGGCCTTCGTTAGTGCATCTACCTTTTCGGGAAATCCGGGGCTGTTGCGTCGTCGAAGAGATGGCCTATGTGCACGAACGCATCCATCACAAACGCCCATAATGGCGAAGAAAAAGACCCCTTCATCGCCTCCAAGCAAAAAACCGTCTTCATCCGAGGGATTTTCGGGCATGGCGGCGGGGCCTGGAGCACCTACGCGAGAGTCACGCATTTCGCCAACGCGAGAGCAGGCGAGCGAAACCGAATCGAGTAGGACAGGAGGGGAGGCTGTTGATTCGACTACTGCGAAAGTGTCGCGAGCGACTCGCGCTCTTGGATCGAAAAAGGTGACCGCTCCTCCTAAGCTGGAAACGAAAAAGACTGCCGCTGACTTCATCGCTGAAGGCGTGGAAGATGACGCCGGCGCCGGCAACTTTATTGCCGAGGATATCCGCTTTGGAATAGATGACGTCCTAGACCCTTTCAAAGAGGATGACGAGGTCCAATCGGAAAAACGCCGGGAATCTGAGGCAGAGAGCGAACGCGAAAGCATCGGTAAAAGTATTGATGTGACTGGTGATGGTGGCGTTGAGAAGAAACTTGTTGTACCGGGTGAGGGGGACGTTGTCTATCAAGGTGCTCAAGTAAGTGTCCAGTACACTGGTACGTTAGAAGACGGAACAACGTTCGATTCTACTCGATCCAAGAGTGGAAATTTCTCGTTTGAGCTTGGAGCTGGGCAGGTCATTAAGGGATGGGAAGCTGGGGTATCTACAATGCGAAAAGGAGAAGTTGCGGCTTTCGAGATTTCCCCGCAGTATGCGTACGGACGGAGGGGAATGCCACCAGTAATTCCAGGAAATTCCACTCTGACGTTTGAGATTGAGCTTGTTGATTTCAAAGGCGGGGAGAAGGAGGATATCAAGACGGTGGCCGATTACAATCCCGAGGTGGCTCGGACGCCAGAAGATATTGCAAAGGATTACGATGCCAGATTGGAAACGCAAGAAGAACGTAGAAAAGGCATGAGTCTCCTGGACCGCTTCTACATCATATCTCCGTTTGCCAGCCAAACGGGTGAACGGCCGCCCTGGTGGATCAATCCGAACATCACATTTGTTGGCATTCTGGCGTTTTGCGGGTTGGGGTTTTATCTGGTAGTCTTGTCCGGAGCAATTCATTTTGGCTACGTCGATCAACCCGTTGACGTTAACATCTTCAAGTGAGAGATTTTTCCACGATCAGCATCGAGGGAGTAGTGCAGGGTAGGTCAACAGAATGAATCACTAGTCCACACCCATATGTATTCATTTGTAAAAAGCACAAAATCTGAATGTGGTACAGTAGTGAGACCGAGAGCAATATTGCCGTATCCATTGGCTTTCTGCGTTACTCTACGGTTAAGTGCCAAAAGGCTTCCCATCTACTTTTGAAGAGACGGCAAGTTGTTCCCAAACCGCTCATCTACTAGCAGTTCTCGGCCAAAAGAGAAAATATCGGGGGCCGTCCAGCCCCTTGAGTTGACAGTGAAGTCCTTCGTATTAAAGTTAATAGTTTTGCCCAACCCATCACGCAGTGCTACGCCTCTGGACTTCAAGAATGTCTTCAAAATCTGAAGCCTCGACGAGGCGTCCGGATGACGCAATTCAATATGGATTTCAAAACGACCAGGTCGCAATAGCGCCGTGTCAATAAGGTCGAGGGATCGGGATGTTGCTAACATAAATACTGGAGCTCCTTCATGGCCCCGATGCACCCCGTCAATCTGTGTCAAAAACGTACTGAGTAGTCGGTTGAATGCTTGCGCCGCCGAACCTCCATCTTCTTCACTCAAATCACGGTTGGGTGCAAGTATATCGATGTTTTCTACGACAAGAAGGGCAGGGGCTATTGCATTCGCAATCGCGAAGAGACGAGTGAGCTTCTGTTCAGCGTCCCCGATGACGCTGCTGACAATGGCAGTTGCATCAATGTATAAAAAGTTCACCGTGTGCTTTGGGAGAAGAGCTGGCGCGAGCTTGGTCATAGCAGTCTTGCCACAACCAGTCGGGCCGTACAGAATAAGGCCCCGGAATGTACCAAGGGTCTTCATGATCTCCATTGAAGTTCTCGTTTGTGGATCTGCAGTGCTTGATCCTTGAAGTGCGGATGAGGCAAACACAGATGTGATGCACTCGAGAAACTGCTGGATTTCGTTGTCGAGGCCAAAAAGAGAATCAGGAGAGGTGCATTTTCCATTCGAAATCAACGAAGAGACGCCACCAGCGCTGGCCAGTAGGGAAGGGACGATAGCGCGTAGTACGTCGCTGAGAGATGCGTCGCTGAACACTTCGTTTACTCTCTTTAAAACGTCCCCATCCTCCTTCGATAGAGCCACATTCACGGGTTCTTCAACAAATGAGAAGAAGCGAGAAAAGTCCGCATGCACAAATCCTGGAGTCACAGTTGCAATTTGCCTCGCAATCATGTCCAGGCTAGCACACCACTTGATTTTGCCTCTCAAGCGGCTTCGGATCCAAGATTCTGCGAGAGCTTTACGCTCTGCGACCGCGAGCGGATACAGGCGTACGACGTGCCGCAATCGCCTAACGCAAAGCAGAGCCGGGTGTACAGCTTTCTCATGGCATGCAGTGGCAATAAAGACGAAAGGTTGAGCAACTTCTAACGAGTTCTTCAGCGCGTCGTTTAAGACGGCAACGGTTCTAGTCTCAATGGGAGTGATAGCGTTCGAAAATCCAGGGGCAGGGGCCCAAAAGTCAATGTCATCTAAAAGGACAGCTTGCGGTCCACTATCCTGTCGTGGCTGAAAGGCTGCGAGAACGGCGGCGATGGTCGTGACGGGGTCATCATGACATAGGGTTCTAAAATCCAGGACGCGAATATCAAAACTGGCTGCGTCAAGTGCCCGACGAGCAAGGGACGATTTTCCCGTGCCGGATGGACCGACAAGCAAGATCGCAGACTGGGCTGAAGTTGTTTTCACATCCTGCAGCAAATCGCGGAGATGCTTACTGGCTGCGCATTCGATGCAAGGATTCTCAAGATACGATTCCGACATTTACGTAAATGATGGTCCGGTGCAAACATAATCGCTGCTTTTGAGCAGGATCATAGCGAAACGCGAAAACGAGTGGGTAGAGGCCCGATCAAGCTGCCAGCCCCGTTGACAACCGCGTGGGAGGATCGATAGAGTAAAAACCTTGCATTTTTTATGAATTGAAACAGAAGAAATAAATAGCTTTCTACTCGGTACAGTACAGTCGGTGATCAGCCACCTAATGGGATAGATTATCCGCAAAACGGCCCTGGCAGGATGATTTCGAACCCTCGGTCAATCCCATAGAAAATAAGCAAGTTTTAGATAACTGTTCGAAGTAATACTCGCTTCCGTTTTGGCGCAGAGGTTTTCAACGGTCACCTGAGGAAAGTGGAGGCCTCCCGTGATATGTGTGCTGACCTCACGCTTGAAATACTCTGCCTTATCGTTACATTTCTTGTGTGACGCTTGACAAAAAGGTGCTCTCTACGAAAATAGAAATATTCCTTCCAGCTGAGGTGCCTTTCGAGCTCAAACCTGTGTTCAAGGCCACACTCCACCCTTCTCGGCTTTGTTGCGCGTTTTGAACATCTCAATCTTTATACCTTGCATTCAACCCCCACCAAGAAGTCAATTGCCAAGTCCATGCAATCATAATTAGTTCTATTGCCGTGACTGTGGGTGTCACTCGTACCAGTAACGCTCTGCACCTCCCCAAACAATAGATGTTGACAGAAATGCGGTTCTACAGGATTCGGAGAGCATTCATGACGTTAAGATCATTCAAATGCACCTTAGAGGCCGCCACGGTCTTCAAACCTACTATGAGGTTCATGTTAACAACTTCAAGCGAGCAAAGAGTCAAGTTTTTTTACTTTCGCATGCACTTTCGATTCGTTTATGGAATCTTTATAAGACTGTCAACGTTTTAGACCGCTCATGGAATTCAACGACTGCCTGTGAACAGGCAGCAAGCATAGAGAAGATACAGATGCCCGGTGAGCGCTGTAATACGTTTCTTGCCTGCATTCAAATATCAGTAGCTCGCAAACACTCACGCAACGACTTTTACGCAAGCTGGATTGCCCCTCGGACATTATACACGCTTTGGTCAATTACCAGTTTCGTTAGCACGGAACTATTTGCGGACTCATTTAACGAAAGTGGTGTTCTTTGAGACTACTGTAGTTTGGACCTGGGGGATTTGGAACTTGGTTCTCTGAGAAGTTGGAACTATGTTTAGGACAGCATAGAAGGTGGTGCTGGAAATCCACCCTTCGACAACGTGCTTTTAGAAGACCTGTTTACCAAGTTTGAGAAGGGCGTTCAAAAGGAAAGTCCGTACTGTCGCTGTGTACTATTGCCTATCGGAAAGGGTTCTGAACTGCTAAAGCGAGTTCAGCTACTTACGTCAGAAGCGCATCTTCTGGTATCTATTCCACCGGGATGTCTACCGTTCAGAAATGAAAACGTGTTGCTCACACAGCACTATTTAAAGCCGAAACCGCACTTACACCAGTACATCGGCCTTTTTATGTGGTGCAACAGGCCTTATCTACTTAAAAACAAAGCACCTTTGAATATAGAAGATGTTTATCAAGCCTGGATTGATGACACTCTTCTCTGCCCAGAACGTTCAGTATTGCACAGCGAAGAGTTTTTTAGGGCTTTCCCTATGGAACTACGTGGAGAAGAGGGCATAGATGGTTTATTGACAGAGCTTTGGAGTACTTAATTCTCATTGTCTACAGTGTGTGTCAATCGCTTGGAGAAAGTAAGTACATGATACACCAAGTTTTAGTGCTTTCTATACATTTAAAAGTAAAGGTTCCATGTCGTCAGGTTCCATGTCAATTGTGGACGTACTTTCAATAGTGTGTACAGAGTTATTGTCATTTTGCTCCTCTGCATCGCTGCTGCTCAGTACAACGGTAGATACCAAGGGTTCTGATTCTACTAGCAGCTGATGGTTGCTAGGGGGTATGAATTCCGCCGGTGCTGAGTTAACTGCACCTTCATGTTCTGAAGTATCGGGAAAGTGGTTGGTGCAGACTGCTTCGTTGCAGTCGCACCCAATGCACTTTCTTGCCCCTCTCACACATGAACATCGACGAGTAGAACAGTCTCCCTTGCATTTGCAGGAGGACGTCACTTGTCTTATTAGACCTTCAATTTGTCTGAGGTGTTCGTTTGCTTGGAGCAGTATTGAGCCATCTTCATGATAGCCATTCTCAGGTGCACAGCCCCCTATTGTTTCATGTGAAGCATCCATGCAGTGTGCCCTTCCCCAATACTTGTATACAACGAAAAATGACCTCCTTATCTGGAGTTCTAGGTGTTGTACGTGAGGTACTAGCTCATTAATGCTTTTCGAATTATCAAAAACGAAGTTACGTACGTCAGTCTTCCATAGATGTGACCGGACTTCATGTGTTGAAGTGAAGATGCTCTTCTTAAAGGCTGAGAATTCTTTCTGTTCTAGAAGTCCCTTCTGTAGTTGGTAAGTTGCTTCAGTGAGAAATTGTCTCGTATGCGTTTTAGAAAGCAGTCGTTCTTTGCCATGCTTGAATAGATACAATATACATATGAACGTTTCAAATGTTTCAATAGTTGTCTTGTTGATGCCAGTCTCTGGCGGCTCTAGATTAAGCAGATGTTTCCTGAAAATGGCCAAGACAAGCACGAAGACTTCATGACTCATGCCAAAGAAAGAGGGTGTAAAATCACAGCCAGCCATACAGTACAGCATAGCTACAGTCTTACCACTGCTTTGTATAGAATATAAAGCGGAGATTGCATCATCAACACTATGAAAGGTGTCGTTCAAAACTTGAAAGATTCCTTGTGAGTGCATAACTTCGGAGCACAGTAGAATTATGAACACGTCCGTATCGTCTGATAGTATTAAAGACCCTGAAATCAGACTTGTGCTTCGTATATCCCTTGGTACTCTTTCCACGTGGTCTGTTCTTCCATTGGGTTCCATTACACCAAACTGCCTCTTAAACACCTGGAATGGTCCGGCAATGTAAGGAGTGTACGTAGCTACAAATCTAGTCTCAGACTCACCATGTTTCATTTCATGTTGACCGATGTATGCACCTCCTCTCGTCTCGAAAACAAGGCAACGATCGCGAGGAATCTGAAACAAGTTGCTATCACTATTGCTATTCTCCTTCTCTCTCTTGAGGACAATACATCCTTGAGTTAACATGGATTCAGCGTCGTTACTGTCCCTATGCGGTGTTAAATCTTTCGGAGTACAGTTTGTAAATTCTGTTGGTACTGCAAACATACCTCCATGGAGGAATATGCAACAGTTATGCTGTAAATGTTTCAGCAACTCAAAAGATGCTACCGCTGCACAACGCAAATGCAGAGATGCAAGCTCGTCTTTTTCATCTCGGTTGTTGAGGAGGGAGCTCCACGGGACAGTAAGTTCATCGTCGAACTGTAGCCGCCTACAAGTGGTTTCCTGATCCACCTCACTCTCTTGGCGAGTACCTCTGGACCTGTTTTCGTCCCGCCGAGTTTGCTCTGATTTCTTATGCACGATAACCTTGCTTGGGTCATCAATATGAAGGTGAACCTGTCGTAGGTGTTTTGAAGCTGCACCTGTCAAGTATGGTCTCATAATTGATATCATCTTACCAATGACAACACTTTGCAGGGACGTACCCCCACCTGCATTGTCCCCTCTGAAGTGGAGAGAATTCATAACGTCTAGTTGAACAGAGTAGTAAGGTGTTAGCGACGAACCAAATATACTTCGCGACACTGGAGAGCTCGTACCACTGTCGAAGGATATTTTGTTAAAAAAGTACAGAACGTCTCTGTTGTTCCTTCTTGTATACTTTAGGAACCTTGATTTGACTGGATGGTTAAACTGGCCGTTCAGGTCCACGAAACAGTCAATAAAAGTTGAAACAAGGTGTCTCCGATCATGAAGGGCGTCCCATCGCGCCATAACTTCCTTTAAGTACTCCCTGTTCCCGGAATTTATCGCCTTTCTTTCCTCTGCGTACACCGCGTCCTTAGCTCTCGCCATCTTTCTCCTTCTTTCAACCATAACAGTAATGAACGAATGTTTGCCCTTAAGTCTTTTTATGCGACTCGGTCCATCTGTGACGCTAGCAGTCAGAGTGACGTCACCTCCTGAGCCAGTAATTATGACCACACCACCGTTCTTTGACATACACTTAGATGCTCTCGTAACTGCACGTGATCTAGTCCACTTTTTGAAACGTTTCCCTGAAAAGTGGTTGACCACATCCTCTTCAGACAGTCCACCGAACACATCAGGAAATATTACAGAAGAGTGCAGCTTGGTAGTCATCCTTCCCAGCTCTGCGACCTGCAGCAACCTGTTTTGGTCCTCAACTATATTCCTTCGTTAGGGAGGGCTGGAAAAAACGTTGGTGAGCCACTCAGAACCGCGATGTGCGATGTTGAGAAAGCCTTTCTCTCTCATTACGTGCAACATTCTGGACACAGTTCTCCACTGAACAGCGTTTCGGTCAAAAGGTGACAGGGGCCCTCTCTGCTCCCCTCCATCGTCCAGTATCTTCTTACGACCAAAAGCCCTTGACGCACCAGTGCAATATCTAGACAATGCTCTAAAAATATATACCTGCTGCAGCCATGCCGATGCATTCTGCAGATGACCTAGAAAGTTGACGCTCAGGCTTTTCAAATGTCGAACCGCCAGCATTTCAAGAGACTCATCCATGTGCACGTAAGTCCATCCCCTTCTGTCTATGGCATCTTTTCCTCTTCCTGTAAAACTTAAAAGCTTGACAAGAGAACGGCCTGGCCTCTTGTCATACAGTTCATCCACCACGTATGTTGGTAGAATACCTCCGAAAAAGGCATAATATAGACTCAACTCCTGATATTTAAAATGTGTCGTTGAGTACAGGATGGGCATATGCTTGAACCAAAAAATATCTGTGACGTTACTATGACCAGTTCTAGACAGCACATGGAATCCAATGGTGGGTAGTAAGCATGAAAATAGAACA